CTAGGTTACTTCACTCAGGATGATTTTTTTCCTAGTTCTGTCAATTTGCTTGCAAATTTCATGCTGTCGTTATTTTAAACAGCAGAGTAGTACTCCACTGTGTAAGTGGACCTCATGCAGTTCATTCATTCTTCAGGTGAGGAACAACTGTGTTGTTTTCAGTTTCTGTATATTGTGAATATGTTATTTGATATCAGTTTCCAATGAGCCTATTCCTTTTTTCTTAGAGTTCGAATGATACTTCAGATATTTTCTAGTTCATCATTTTAATAGATCAAGTAGGCAAGATGTAATCCAAAGAAAAGTAACTCATGGGGAAAGTTGGAAGTCAACTTGGTATAAAGATAAGGAATGTATAATAACTTAATAATAATTTCTGTCACTTCAGGGATTGATGCCATTGACATAAAACTATTGAGTTCATTCTAATTTTAGATGATTAAAAATCAGCATCTAAACGGTGAAAAGGGGTATAGGTCCAGAACAGCACAGACTTGAGGTTCACCCTTTCCTTTTCCTAACAGCCCTTGTGTTGTTATTTAGAGGCAGCTTTCTTCCTTTCCTGGTCCACTTCCAGGCTCACCATCTGACATTACTCTAGGCAAAGCCTCTTCACCACAGTTGCTGATTCTTTTTTCTTTTTTCTTTTTTTTTCCTCGAATGAATCCCTAAAGTAGAAAAGTTGTCTGGTGTGTAAAGTAATCTTATTTTGTTTGGTAAAATGTTTAAGTTAAAGTAATATAAATATAACATAATATAAAGGAAATCTCAACATTTATTAGATACCTGAATATAAAAACCTTGCTCTAGTTAAAGATACTTCAGTGTTCCTGCTAATAATAATAAAAAAATAATTCTTTAGAATTTTTTGTTTTCATATGGAAGGACAATTTCTTGCTATATTGCCTAGACTGCCTCAAGCTCACTTGTAGCACAAGCTGCCCTAAAACTTGTAGTCCTGCTTCTGCCTTCCGAATGCAAGGATTGCAGTCATACGATACCACCGTTGCCTAGAAGTATTTTTTAATGTGGTAAAATAATGTGGGTTAAGTGTTAATGCATAAAGTATATGTCAGCAAAAAGTTATTTATATTTACTGCAAACTGAAAAGAATGAAAGACCCAAATTATTTTCTCAAAATCTTTCAGTCTCTTGTTGGTCTCTTCATAAAATAGAGGATTATGTTTGTGTCTTTTAAAGATTCATGCATCTTTTCAGCTTCAGCTTTTTCCCAGTTGAGCAAAGTGCTGCACTGTTCTTGGTTGCTGTTTAGACAAGCTAGTTCTATTCTTCTGTTAGTTTCTTTTGTTCTCTGTCATAACACGTCATTGAGTTTACAACCTTGCAAAAAACAGCTGAGTGATACTTGTTGGATTAAGCTCTATTTGGAGTGATAATAGGTGATATTTGTAATTTAGTATTTAGTAATTCTCAGTTTTACCTGGGATGTATCTTCTTAATCATCAAGAGTGGGGAGGGGTAACCCAAGGTTGTCCCTTTCCAGAATTGAATAGCCCAGTAGATGAAATTCAAGTAATTATTATGATCTGAGAAATTAGATTTTCACCATGCAAGTCAAGAGGTTGTTTAGGAAAGTCAACTAGGTAAGCAATGATGTCTCCATACCCCTAAATGAACGAGTGTCAGCTTAGAGAAAGATGACCCATTTATGTAATGCAGCCAATGGCCAAGTAAGGCTATTCAACTCACAAATCAGTTTTACTCTTTGATAAGTACTCATCACTTTATATGGCTGATCATATGTTGATGATACAGTTTTACTTCTTCTCTGTCACCATAGAATAATACTTGGGACTAAAAATGCATAAAGCTGGAGAGCATTGATCAAGTAGCAGTAGCCCAAAAGATGGAAGAAAAGAACAAACATTAGTAATGATATTTAGTATAGGAATCACATCTGAGAATTAGGTGTTTTCTAAAATAACACAGATGGAAGAATTTCTTTTTTGTAGAAGTCCTGCTGAAGCTATATGAGTTCTATTTAAGAATGCATTTAGTTATAAACATGTTTGCATACGCATATGTATGTAACAATGAAGAAAAAGAGGATGGGAATTTGAAAGAGAACAGAGTTAGGAGTTCATGGTAGGATTCGAATGGAGGAAAGAGAAGAGGGAATGTTATAATCTTTAAAAATTTAAAAATTAGAAATGATATAAATAAATAAATTCAGTCCTGGGAAGTCAAATATGCTGGATTACAATTTACTCTTGAGTTATCTGTAATAAAAGCATTGCTTTAAAAAAAAAGTGAATTGCACTGCCAATCTCTATTCAATCTTGTTTCCTGTTATGTGATAACTAATTGCAAGTATAGAGAAGCCTGCTGAAAAGATTTTTATGGGTCAAGCTAGAGAAAACAAAGTTCAGTAGGGTTCACATGTGGTGGCCATAACAATGAGTTTATGTCAGTGCAGATCCATGCTATCTAAGATACAAAAATAGAATCTCAAAGATCATGCTTATAGGTGAATTTCAGTATTTTCTTGGTAAATAAAGCAAAGAGAGTGACAAGTATATGATTTTTATTCATACAACAGAAAATAATAAATTCCTTTATTTTCAAATTCTTTGCAGGTATGAAACAATGAAAGCATGTATATGGACATGATTTGAAATCTATGAACTGGTGTTAATGTGCTTACAGCATTGAGCCATTTTGGTTAAACAATTATAATAGCAACTTATTTGTACTTGGGCAAAGTGGTAATCTAATGATGTAGCCGTTAATTTGAATTTAGTAGACATTTTAAATATAGGGTTCTTTTACAAAGATAAAAGTTGCAATTTAAAGCTCTTTGGTGGTCTAAAAACAGCTTAATTTTGTAGTAGCATTGTAATAGGCACTAATCCAGATTATACAATGATTGTAGTATGTCATGTTTATGAACAATTGCCCAACTGCTTTCTCTGGACTTTATGTTAATTTAAAAATATTAAGCATAAAACCTTATAAGATCTTCCTGCTGAGATAAACTGTTCAATTTAACTTGTGCTCAAGCAGCAACTGTCAGAAATTATCTTGCTCCTAGTGGTTTTTGTTCTCACCTTATACTCTTTCCTGCTAGAGTCCCACTGTGGGATGATAAAGTTTATCTTATGAGGCTTTATTTCTTAAGTGGTACCTGAGGCAAGATGAGCGTGGGTAGCTAAGGGTTAGCTCCTGACTGAATGATGTCTTTCATTATGTAATGACCAACTTTTAAAAATTGGCAGTTTGAACCAAAGTAAAAAGTCTGTGGATTGTAGCTAGCTGTATTCTTTTTGTGGCCATTCTCATTACTTGGGGTTGTGAAAAGAGCTAAAATTCCAAGAGCTGCCTGTTCAGCTTAAGAGTATGCAAGTGAAAAAAAGAGAAATACTTAACTAGTAGGTAGAGATAAAGGAATGCTGTTTCAACATTTTTTGTGAGATATAATTGATTTCTTAATGATTAAGCACACTAAAGGAAATGTTGGTGTTGTGGTGTCAAGTTGTTAAGACTGAAAAATCATTGACATTTTTCTTTTGACTGTATTGATCTATGCACAGGAAAATCTTCCTGTATCAAAGTAGCAGCTGAATTATAGCTGGATAATATCTCAGATGACAGACTTGTTGTTTATGGAATGTCAAATGAGTTCTTTCTTTTACTTAACAATGTTCTTCCAAATCTGTCACTTTAACATATAGAACTTGAAAAAGGACTTTGAATGGCATACACCTAATTCAGTTAAACTGAATTCCTGTTTATACTGTATATACTTAGTAATAACCATTGCTTTATTGTGAAAGGCTTGTGCTGCAGATTATGTAAACACATCAAGTTAACTATTTGGTTTCTCAACAAGGGTGTTTGTAGTCGTAATAAAGTAACAAGGATGGTATTTCATAGTTAAGTCTAGACCAACAGAAGTATTTGTATGGTAAGTCATCCTCCAGCAATTGTAGCTATAGTGCAATTAAAACATTTTGGCAGTTTCTGCTTTGGCACTGACTTCTAGTGTGAATGTAGAGAAAACTCAGTTTTTCTATACCTCAACTTTTTACAATTACACTAACAAGGTTATCTAAATGTCCTCAGCTGTCCAGGTGTTGCCCCTTTTTTGTCTCTATATGTGGTAGGCATCTCATCAGGGAGCCATTTCTAGGCTGTCTAAATCTCTAATACTCTTTTTATGTTTGTTTCTTTAACACTGTGTGTATGACTCCATGAAAGTCAGTATTCATCCTTCTGGGCTATCTCAGTCAACATTTCTGTTCTTCTAGGCTTGCCTCTGTCACTCAGTAGGCATTTCAGTAAGTGTAGAGTGACAACAAATAGGTATTTTGATTTATTTATCAACATGGATAGATAAACTTTCAGATTTTTTCTATAATAAACCATTTATCAAATTTTATTTGGTTTCTATAAGGGGTTTTGCATATCTAGTGCCAGCCACCAGCAGCCTCGTAGTAAAGAAAAATATATATATTTTTTCTTAGTCTAAGGATTACAGGATACTTTAAAGAGGACTTTGAGGAAACATGAAAAGAGAAAAAACACACTACATAAATACATTGCATAAATCAAAAAGGGTTTTGTCAAAACATGAACATGTCCCAATCCTGCTTCTGTATTGAACTTCAGTTGCTGGTCTCAAGGAGTCGAGAGCACTGAAGCTGGAAGCAAGTGCATTCCCCATCCAGCTTATCCTGGTTCCTTTTGTCCTTCAATTAGAACTCTTCTTGTCTTTTCATACAATCTAGACAGTTTTCTTTCTTTTTCTTCTTCTTCCTGTCCCTCAAAAACTGAGCCTAGCTGAGACCAATAAAACATGGACTTTTATAGTTCCTAGTAGTTGCTTTTTAAAAGGTCGGCACTGAGACTGCTTCTGCGTGGCACTAAGTCAAGCATATGTGTATCTTAGGCGGGAAAGAATATGGGAGCAGAATGGTACAAGGTGGACCTTCAGGCATGCTTAGCACAGTAAACCTTTTTTTTTTTTTTTTCTTTCTTAGGACCCTTTTTGCAAGCTCAGTACTTAACCTGGCTGAACTAGCTGCCCTTCGGCCTGATCTGGGAAAACTGAAAAAGATCTTGTACTTCCATGAAAACCAGTTGGTATATCCTGTCAAGAAATATCAGGAGAGAGATTTTCAGTATGGATACAATCAAATTCTCTCATGGTAGGTATAGATTGTATACAATTTGTTGTTTGCCATCTTACCCCCCTCCCCTTTTCTCAAAACAGATTTATGGGGTGGGGGATGCATGCACAAAGGCCAGAAGAGGGCAATGGGTGCCTCTGTCCTTCTCTGCCTGTGTCTTTGAGACAGGGTCTCTCCTTAAGTCTGAGGCTCCTGTTTTTCTAAGCTAGATTTGAAACTGGCAAGTACCTGAGCTCTTTATATCTTTGTCCTGATAGGAGCTGGGATTATAGGCAGGTACTGGATGTCCAGCTTGCTATGTGGATGCTTGAGTCCAAACTTGAGTCCTCGTAATTTTGAAGCATGTAATTTTTACTGATGGGCTATCATTCCAGTCTCTATATTTTCCATTTTAGATGGCTACTTTGTAAATCTGGAGACTATAATAAATCTGTAAGTATATTAAGGCAGATACAGGTGTTAAATATTGTTTCCATAATATTATTATTGTATTTTGCAGGATTTTTAATAGTACTGCTATTCATTTTGTGAAATAAATATATTCATACATAGACTAATCATCCAATCTTACCTTGAACCAGTTATCTTACTGTTTTACATAACGTTCAGAATAAAATATAAACTATTGACAAGGATCTTTACCCCTTGATTCCTTAAATATTATTTAAATTGTAGAAAAATGAGCAAGTTTTTTTTATCAGCTACTTTCAGTGTGTTCAGCTAAAATTTAGTAAAGAAATTAAAATTTAATAGAGCAAGGGTTTTTGTAGCTCCTATTTTTTGTTATATTCTTCATTTTTGGCCTGTGTATTTTGTTGAATCTAAGGCAGAAACTTTAGAAAACGTAATGTTTCAGTGATTTTTATTGTTCCTTCCACTGAATCTTCTGAAAAGATGGTCTGAAAATAGCTGCCACTTCAAAGGTGAAAACCTTGTCTATTGTTCCTCCAATGTAGTGTTTCTCCTGATGCTTGCTGAAAGAAGTTCATTAGCAACCCCATGCCATCTCTCCTGCAGAATCCTGTTGCATCACAGTGCCAGTCACATGGAATCAATTTAGAAGTGATTGCATACATGTTATACACCATTTTTAGTAGTTATTAGCTACAGAGATTGATAATGTGTATGAACAGACCTTGCTAGTCTGTTCCTTAGTTTAGTTGACATGGAAAAACAGCTCTAATGGTACTAATTGTTTTGAGCATTTTGTAAATGTTTTTCTACAGTCGTTTTTTACAAGTCGCTTCAATTGTGAGGTAGCACGGCCATCAAAACGGTGGAACTGTGCAGTCAAATGTCTCATAAAAAGCAACTATTCTAAAATTTCATAGGAAATTAAAATATTTCATTTTGTCTTAAAATGGCAACAGGAAAATATGTTTTCAAAATGAAAATGAGCTGGAGATACGGTTCATAGGTTGAGAGCACTGACTGCTCTTCCAGAGGACCAAGGTTCAATTCCCAGCCCCCACATGGCAGCTTACACCTATCTGTAATTCCAGTTCTAGGGCTTCTGACACCCTTTGCTCAGACATACAGGCAGGCAAAGCATCAATCAAAAAGCTTAACATAAAATAAAAATAAATTTTATATATTTAAAAATATGAAAATGAAATTCACTTCTACATTTATTAATATATAAAACATTGATAATATTCTTGTAATTTCTTGAATTAGTACCATTTTATTTTTCAGATTCTATGGTTTTATTACCCTGAGAAACCACAATGGAGGGATTAAATATCTTTCCCTGTATGTGTGACATTAATGGAAGTTACACCCGCTCATATCAGGGAGGAAATACGTGAGAAAGTATATTTCTGTAGACCAGTGTGAATCTTTAACAACACAGACTAAATGTTTTAGATTAATAGTAGTTTGTGGTGTGCCTGCTTCAGGCAGATATTAAATAAAGAAAATAGGTCACTCCCCTTTTTTTACCATTATGAAGAATTGTTTTTTCTCATAAGGAGAGAGACTGAAAACTTGCATATGATTTTTCCTCATTCTTCCACTCAAGAGGATAAACTGATAGACAAGCTTGGGGAGAAATAACTTGAATGCACCATCATTTGGCTTTGTAATAGGAAGAAAAAGTTGTCCAGAGGAAAGTAAGAATGTCAGAATGCAGTCCTGCTCCAGCTTCTTCAAATGCATCTTCAGCATTCTTGCCGATTTCTGCTTTTGCCGACACTGTCAGCTTTCTTTCTGGACTGTGTAGCACTTTTGGATTTTAAAGATGTCTGACCTAAGCCATCACCTTAGACAGAGGTTCCACTAACCCTCTGACTTATGAACACATGCTGTAACTATGTATTGTGACCCGTTGGTCACTATTACAATATGTGACAAATGGTGCAAACAGATGAGCTGTAGAACGATCTTCAACTTTTAGTATATTATTGTGAGGCTTCCTTATTGCTTAGTTTTGTGTCAACTCTCCTGTGATATTCCTTTGTTTAGCTGTGTTGTTGTTGTCTCCATCCCCCAAATTTTCACCATGTCATAGCTAAAAAAACAACAAACAAACAAGACAGGCAAAAGCAGTTTTAGAGGGGAAGTCAGTGTGTCTTCTGTTGGGATTTTGTTCTGTTGTATACTAATAATAGCAAAGCTTTCTGTCTTGGTGAGTATGTTTTTAAACTAAGCCAAGGATTATCTTTGGCATTCATATTTTATCTGTAAGCTCTACTCATTATGATGTTTTCTCATAGCCTTATGGACATGCATGCTTTTTCCCAGTCTTATTAAGGTATCATTTCTAAGATGGAATAAAGCTGTTTTGTCATATTTACCTTCTTATAGAATTGTTCAGTAATGCTGAATTATTAAGGAAACAAATAAGATGTTCTGTGATAAACATCATGACCAAAGCTATTTGGGGAGAAAAGGGTTTATTTTCTCTTACCACTCACAACCCATCACCCAGTAAATTTGGAGAAAGACCTCCAACTGTATTAAATAAACTGGAAGTAGAAACTAAGGAACACTGCTCACTGGCTTGCTCCCAGACCCCCTTTTACATAGCCCAGGCCTACCTGCCTGGGGATGGTACCACCCACAGTGGGCTGTAATCAAGAAAATGCCATGTAAACAATGTTAATGGGAAGTCTGATGGAAGCACTTCTTCATCTGAAGTTTCCTTTTTGCAGGTGTGTAAAGTTGAAAACCAAGATAGCCGACATAGACATTTTCAAGAATCAAATCTTATTAAATCAGTTTAATTCATATTATACTTCTAGGTTTTATCTAGCATATGCACAGTTACCATTGTTGTTCATTGGTGCTAGAGACAATGCAATAGCCATTAAGAAAATTACTGGTACATTTATTTATGAAATCTAAAACCTGCTTTCACATTTTCTTTAATCAATGTGTATTGTATTTTAAAAATACCGAAGAAAAAGTACATTTGTCAAAATCAACTATTAATGGTGTAATTCTTTTGTAATTTTTCTAGAGATCAATGATTGTGGTTAGCTATATATTCCTTTTATGTAATAAATTCTAATAGTATGGATATCTGAATGTATTTCACTATTTTTTTTACTTCCACGACTGTCCTAAGCATACTACAATACTGAACTAAATTATTTAGAGATATCATCATTCCATGTAATACCATAACCTAAAAACAATAAAATTTCTTCAAACAAAAGGCTAAAACTCGAAATGGACTTTAACTGAATTGTGCTAAACTTATCATGACCTCATAGGAAAAGCCTTATGGGAGTTAGTTTCCTCAGAGATGAGAAGGAAGCTGTAAACCTGTCCTCCATAGTAGACTACGTAGAGACATGCTTGGGCTTGCTCTGCTTGGTAGTGATAATGTGGGAAGTTTACGATGTATGGGGAAATAGGCATTCGTTTGAAAGCTTATTTGATTTCATTCAACTATCTTATTTCTCTCTTGCCTGTCTTCCGGGAAGCCAGCAACCTAATCATCTATGATTGAATTCTAAGAACTAACATCCCTGTTAGCAGCAGTTTCCTCTATACTAGTGTCCAGTGCTACTTGCAAACCTGTGGTAGAGCACAGAGTCTGATTAGTATGCAAAGGTCTTAGGCTTACAGAATAACTCTTCATGAACTTGCATTTGCTTTTTCTCTTTACAGTTTGGTGGCAGATGTGGTGGTATTCAATTCCATTTTTAACATGGAATCGTTTCTTACTTCCATTGGAAAATTCCTGAAGCTGATTCCTGATCACAGACCTAAGAATCTGGAAAGCATAATCAGACCCAAGTGTCAAGTTATTTATTTTCCCATCAGGTTTCCTGATGTGAGCAGGTCAGTGTGTTTGACTGTAGTTTTGAGGTTTTATCCTAAATCAAGTGTCTAGAAATTGATATTATTTTTGCTGACTTTGACTTTTCAGTATAAGTATAGTTCAATAGAACTCAGTAGAGTTCTGTCTCTCCATAATGTGATTTATAAAAACTTTTGATGATCAAATATCCATCCTATCAGGGAATCATTAGTCTAGGTATTGAATTTTTTGTTTCTTTACTCTTGTTTATTTGTTTACCAAAGTAGGCACTATGGGTGTAGCACAAGATGTTTTACTTCTTTTGTGTTACAGAAGTAATTGCCAAGCACATTTCTCAACTTTTGCATCCAGTTTTGCCCACTGTTCATAATATATAACAGTAACTCCTTTCAGTAAACCTGTATTAAATACTATTTTCTTGGTGATTTTAATGTCTCATTCTGATTCTTTAGGTTTCTTTTCCTTCTTCATTTTCACAGTTTGTGTTATCTTTAAAATAAACTAAATGTGGAATTACTGGGTTGCAGAAGTACTAACTGTTCCGTTTCTTGGTTATTCTGAGCACTTTCCTAAACTGTGCTGCTAGTCTTACCTTGAATTAGAGCGAATGTGTGGTGCAAAGGGAGCAGTCTAGAGCCCTTTGTCACTCTCAGTTAAACTTAGAACAACCTGTATTTACTGCTACTGGAGTATTAGTAAGTTGTCTTCTTCCCTGGGACTTACGACAGCTTAAGATGCTTGTGTTGTGTAATTGCATCCTTCAAAGGTATTTGGGAATAGCTGAGTCTCTATAATAGTACTTATTTTATGTATGTTTTCAGGGCTGATCATTTAGTAATGGATAGCAGTTGTGTTCTTTCCTGGTGAAGACAGTTTCCCCTCCATCAGCATTTCTTAGTCGTCTGTAGTTGTAGTTGTGTCGTGTTGAGGCCTCAAGAACTTTTTCCCATACAATTTAGCATGTCTGTTGTTGTCCTTGTTCAGCTCATATTTAGGAGGTATACCCATGTGCCTATATGAATGTAATAATTATAGTGAAAAGAGAGGCCATGGATTTGAAAGAGAGTGAAGAGTGGTATATAGGAGGGTTTGAGGGAAGGGAAGGGAAAGGAGGAATGATTTGATTATATTATCTCAAAAATAAAAGAAAAAACTGAAAGAAGATTTTCTGCTCTGTATCTGAAATGACTTTACATCCATAGTTCATCTTCTATGCTCCTCACTTGACCCAGATTCTTCTCTAGGCTAGTTCTCATATAATTTTTAAATTTTATTTTTAAAAATATTTTTTTATCTCTCTTTCTCTTTATTCTCAGTTGCTTGCTGTTACCCCGTAATAAAAACCAACCACACAAAACTGGATCCCACTTGTTCCTTCTGCCCCCCCCCCCACCTCCTGGGTCTTAGGAATGGGTCTAGAGTGGGAGGCAGGGGAGTGGCCAGTGCCACTGGGAGGAAATGAAAACTGGCTCAGAGGGGGAGGTACCTCACAAGAAAGAGAAATAAATTAAGCGCCCTCCTCTCCCTCTCACCAGGTTCTTTCCCCTAAGGCCCCAGGGAGCAGAGAGCGCAGCTTCTAAGGTCCGCCCCTCCGGAATTTGGTTAGATGGTCCTGGGCCAGGACCCTGGAGACCTCTACCAAAGGGATGGGGGAAGCAGAATTGGCATTTGAAGTGTGCTCAGCCCCTGGCATGGGCAGGGATGAGGCCTCCGAGTTAGACGACCCCAGCCCCGCTGAGGGTGACAGTTCCCTAGGTGAGCTGGGGAGTCCTCAGGTGCAGCTTCCAGCCACAGGGTGAGGAGTCCTCACAGCAGATGGGCCCACTCCATCTGTGGACTTGGCGTGAGGAATGGATTGTTCCACACAACAGATGAGTCCATTGTCCAGTGTGGGGTGGAGAGGAAGAGAAGGCCACAAAGAGACCATTGGGGAAGGATGGGATGGAATGTCCCCACCCTTGTATCTGATGAGCCACTTGAGATGAGGGGAGGCAACTGTCCCACAAGACAAGATGGCAGGTGGGGATAAAAATATTTTATATGATATATTTTGATACCATTATTTACCTTATGCTACTTATATCAGATCCTTTGTGAACTTCATGTTCTCTCTGTCTCTCTTTCTCAAAAAGAAAGAAATAAGAATCAAAAGCAATTAAAACCAATGAGATAAAAATGAATTAATTAATAAATGAAGACATAAATAAAAACCCCAAGCAAAACAAAAAGCACAAAAAACATAGAGCCCATAGAATGTGGATGATATATTCAGTATCATTGCATTGGGGAAAACTGATTTTCCTTTTACCATATTGAATCTTTCATATGTGTTTGGGATGAAGCTGACTGGATCTTGTTGTATATTTTTCATGTATTTCTGAATTTGGTGTGCAAATATTTTGTTGAGAGTTTTGCTTCTGTGTTCATAGGGGATATTGGTCTATAACTTTCTTTTGTCTTTTCTTCTTTCCTGCCTTTCTTTCCTTGTTGCATCTTTGTGTAGTTTTAGTATCTGGGTAGTAGAGGCTCCGTGAAAAATTATTAGTGAACCTTCAGTTTCTATTTTGCAGAAAACTTTACCAAGTATTTGCTTTAGTTTATCTTTGCAGGTGTGGTAGAGTTTTTCACTGGATTCATCTGTTCCTGGGAGTTTATTGTTGATTTGGTTTGTCTGTGGTTTGGGGGGTTGATTAGGAGTTTTGTTTTAAATTACTGTTTTTATTGCTCTATGGGTTTTGAGTCTATTTAAATTCTTCATTTCATCTTGATCTTACTTTGTAGATCATGTATGTCAAGAAATTTGCCCCTTTCTTATAGATTTCCAGTTTGGGGATATAGATTTTAAAGTATGTCCTTACAGTTCTCTGAATTCCTTCAGTGTCTGTTGTAATGTTTCCCTTTGATCTGTAATTTTATTGATTTGGATTTTCTCTCTTTTGATTAATTTTATGAAAGGTTTGTCATTACTGTTGATTTTCTCAAAGGAAACCTTTGATTTTATTGATACTTTGTATTTTTTATTTTCATAGTTTTTCTGTTTCACTGAATTCATTCCTAAGTTTGATTATCTCTTCCTAACTACTCTTTTAAGAAATTATCTCTTATTTTTATATGTCTTTCAAATATAATATTAAATTATATGAGGTCTCTCCCATTTCTTGATATATAGACACTTACTGCTATGAATAGCCTTCATTGTTTCTTATAGGTTTAGGTATTTTGTGATTTTTGTTTGCATTCATTTCTAAAAAGTTTTTAATTTCCTTCTTGATTTTGGTCATTCAGTAGTGAGTTACTCATTTTCCATGATTTTATATGCTTTCTGCCATTTCTTTTGTTGTTGGTATCCACAGTTACTCCATGATGATGAGTTTATGATTTCAGTTTTCCTTTATCTGTTGAGATTTGCTTTGTGTCTCAGTATGTGGTCAATTTTGCAGAAAATCCCATTTACTACAGAGAAGAGAGCATATTATTTAAGGACTTGGTGAATGTAGATGTTCTTTAGGTTCATTTGACTTATGGACTTAACTCCAGCATTTCTCTATTTTTTTATTTCTTTATAAATAATACCATTCAAAATTTCCACCTCCTCCCCTCCTCCCATTTCCCTCCTGTTCCCCACTCTCTCTTCCCCTCCAGTCCTAAGAGAGGGCAGGGTACCCTGGCCTGTGGGAAGTCTAAGGCCCTCTTTCCTCCATCCAGGCTTAGGAAGGTGTGCATCCAAATAGACTAGTATCCCAAAAAGGCAGTACATGCAATAGAGACAAATCCCAGTGCCATTATTTTTGGCTTCTCAGTCAACCCCAATTGTCAACCACTTCCTTGCTCATATTCTTCCTCCTTCTGCTCTTCAACTGGACTTTGGGAGCTCAGTCAAGTGCTCCTATGTGAGTTTATGTCTCTATCTCCATCTGTCGCCGGATGAAGGTTTTATGGTGATATTCAAAATAGTCATCAGTCTGACTACGGGACAAGGCCAGTTCAGGCACCCTCTTCTCTACTGCCTAAGGACCTAGTTGGGGACATCCTCATGGACACCTGGCAAGAGGCTGGGCTCTAGAGGGGTTCTCTATTTAGTTTTTACCTGGATGTCCTGTCTCTGCCTGAATGGAGTATTGAAGTCCCACTATCTTCTTTTATGAAATTATATACCCTTGTCTTTGGCGTATGAGTTTTTAGAATTGTAATATTATCTCGGTGGATTTTCCTTTGAAGAGTAGTGTTTATTATTACTATCTCCTGTTATTTTGTTGTTTTGTTTTTCCTTTTTTCTTTTGTTCTGGGGTTATTTATTTCTTGTATCCTTTTGGGTGTATTTACCCTTCTCTTTGTACATAGGTTTTCCTTCTAGTGCTTTCAAAGAGCCCTTTAGTAGACAGAAATTGCTTAAATCTGTTTTTCTTTGTTATATTTTTGTTTCGCTGCTGCTTCTATATGGTAGTTTTTCTGGTGGAGTAGTCTAAGCTGACATTTTTTTGTCTCTCAATGTGTAGAACCTTGGTCCAGGCCATTCTGACTTTGAGAGTTTCCATTAAAAAGTCAAGTGCTATTAGATTGGTTCTACTTTTTTATGTGGTTACTCTTTTTTCCTTATATTTTTAATATCCTTTCTTTGTTTCATACATTTAGTATTTTGATTATTATGTTTCTAAGGAGTTTCTTTTCTGTTCCTTTCTATTTGGTGTTTCACATGCATTTTTATCTTGATAGGCCCCTCTTTAGATTGGAGAAAGTTCCTTATATGGTTTTGTTAAAAATATTTTCTGGTTTTGTTCTATCCCTATTTTGTTTATTCATAGGTTTGGTCTTTTCATAGTCTTCCAGATTTCTTGGATTTTTTTGCCTGGCATTTTTCACATTTAACATTTTTTCTTGAGTTAGCCACCCATTTCTTCTGCTTTGCTTCCACAACCTGAAATTTTCATATTGACCTTTTAGTCTGGTTGTCAGGTTTACCTCTGTACTTGATACTTGACATCCTCAATTTTTCATTTTGAGTTTTATTTCAGTGTGTGTT